TCGATCTCTTCCAGTCAGTTGGCCAAGTGGTTGTTCTCCAGATTTCTTGGCACAACTTGGTGAGCACGTCCAGGGCAGCATCTGTTAACTGAAATTTTACATGAACATACTTAAATGTTCTGAGGTTCCTATTCTTCTCCATATTAGCCATAATTTGTGTCATCCACACAATCAAATGCCTTTATGTTGCAGACAGAGGGTCCCAAAGAATAGAATAATTTTATAATTATTAATAAAGAGACAAACAGCCAGGAATGAGATAGAGCAGAGAGCATAAAACAGGGGGTCAGCAGTTCTCGACTGAAGACCTCAAGCCATGCTTCTCTGAGTATTTATTTAGAATCATAAGATAAAAAAGTAAAATCACAAGGAAGTACAAAGCAAAGGATAATGAAGAAAGAATTTTTCTTTTACTTTTCCAAGAGGGTAGTGTTCTGGGGCGGGGGGTAGGTTTGGGAGGGAGAATTGTACAACAATGAATGAATGGAAATCCAAGTTCGCTGCAAATTTTCACTGAAATTAATAATAAATTTAAATTTAAAGAAAACAAAACAAAACAAAAAAACCAAAGGATAATGGGGAAGTCTTTTACAGATAAGGCCAAGTTCCTCTTTATACTAATCTCAAGAGGGAGGGATTCATTTGATACAAACTAAGAACAATGTTTTTGTTTTTTTGTGTTTGTTTTTTTTTTTAATTATTTTTGTGTGAGTGTACCATCAAATCAGATCTGACTGGTACAGGAAGAGATTGTCCCTCCTTCCCCAGCAGAGCATCTGGTGGATTTGAACCATGCGCCTCTGGGATTGTAGTTGCAGCTCCTTACCACTAGGCCACGAGAGCTCCCCTACAAACTAAGAACAATGTTGACTCCTAGGGAACGCCCCAGTGTCACAAGGTGACCTTCAGCTTGTATTAAGCTTCCCTCATTTCCAGATACAGCATTTGGTCTACTATTATTAAATTTGATATTTGACTTCCCTCACCTTTATATAGTCAATAAAACACAGATAAACATTTTTCTGGTATTCTACTCTCAGCCAAAATCCACGTGATATCAGCAATGATAGCCCTCTGGCATGGCCTCTTCTGAATCCAGCATTAATTTCTGGCAGTTCCCTGTAGGTGTACTGTTCCAGTCATTTTTTAACAATCCTCAGCAAGATTTTACTCATGTTTTAATGATATTGTACAATAATTTCCATAGTCTATTGAATCACTCTTCCTATGAATTTCACAGAAATGGAAACATATATGAATCTCTTACATCTTCCAGTCAGTTGACCAGGTAGCTGTCTTCCATATTACTTGGCAGATATTGTTGAGTACATCTTGGGTTGCATCTGTTTCCTGAAATACCTCAGTTGGTTTTCTACTATTTCCCGGGGCCTCATTTTTACCCAATTCCTCCAGTGCAACTTGGACTTCTTACTTCTGAACTATTGGTTCCTGAGACACAAAAGGAGATTTGCACACTAGTGTTCATAGCAGCATTACTCACAATTTCAAGAACATGAAAATAGCCCAAATGTTCAACCATAATAGAATAGATTGAGAAGTTTTGTGGACATTCACACAATGGAATGCTACATGGCACTCAGAAACAATAATTCTGAAGATGATTACATAACTTGAGAGAGACTGGAGGGCCTTATGCTGAGTGAACTAACAACCCAGCCTCGTTAGGATAAATACTGCATAAGACCATTATTATAAAAACAGAAGGTTAACTAGTAAAATATGTATGGGGATCCAAGGTGGGAAAAGAGAGGGGAACAGAGGAATGAGGTTGCACAGGGGAGAATCAGGGAGTCAGTCACACAACAGGGTGAGTGGAGGGGGAGGGTAAAGGAAATGGAAAAGATCCAGCTGAGATCTAGAAAGACATGGTAATGGTGTGCATAGTCAATGATGATTACTTTTATAAAAATTGATGGGAATGAACATATGAAATTATATGATTGAAGAATAATGTGAAACACAATGTATACAAATTTGTATTCAAACCAATATAAAATAAAAATTAAAAGAAATTTAAAAACACACAATGAATGGGAATTACTTTATGAAACAGTGTGAATGAAGGATATGTCAAACATAACATATACAGATTTTGTATGCAAACTAATATAAAATAAAAATTAAAAAGAGAACTACTGATTTTTTTAAGATATTGATTCTTGATCATATGTTACTTCCTAAAATGGTAATTCTTTTTTGCACAATGACTCAGTGTATTCCTTCAATCTTCTTTCAATGTTTTATTCAAGTTCTTGCCCATAGAATCCCTCAGTGCTGCAACATGTTATTAGGTGCCATCAAGTTAAGTACAACTCTTAGCGACTCTATAAACAGTCAGTCTGAACCCTGCCCTATCCTGTGCCATCTTCATAATTTCTGACACACTAGAACCCATTGCTGAAGTCATTGTGTCAATCCATTTCACTGGAGGTCAGTGTGTCCTTTGCTATTCCCTGTCACTTCTCCCTGAAAATAAGCTGCACTGCCATCCCAAATGCTTAAGGTTCTAATTCACCAGTTGCCCTGCTGGAGAAAGATGGGCAATCTCCATCTCTGTGGAATTAAGCTGCCTCTGAAACCCGCTGGAGGGCCAGCTATGAATAGATTCTGAATGGAGGGTACACAGCAACAACAACAATAATGTACCTTTGGTACTTTCTTCTTTGCAGCGTACAGTGATCTATCAGGATACTGATCCTACATCCCCCTCCCTCAGGCCATATTACAGCCTTAAACATATTGTCTAGTGCCCCTGAAACTTTGGCTTGGGTTTCACTGCTCTCAGGGACTCAAATTTCTAAAGCGTACAGTGTTGCAAAACTGGCAACCTCAGGAATGTGACTGGTTGGGATGATGTGGGGAAATCTTCAATGATATGTTTACTGCAAAGCTGAGCAGGGACACACAGGGATGGTCGTCAGCTTCTGGGGGTAGGGAGTGGCAGGAGAACATCCACTTATCAGGATCCTCCTTTTACTAATCTTTTGACTCTACTCAAATTTTTGTTCCAGGAAATAGTAGATAAGCTGGTTAATGTTAATCATGGCTCTGTGACCCACCCCAGGACATGGGTAACGTCAAAACAGGGAGGACTGAAATAATGGAAAATAGCCCTAGGACATTCAAACTGCTGTGTCTACCCCTAACCTGGCCAATTTGGAATGCATAAACAAACACCCTACCCTTCCTTTGTTCAGGGCTGATCTAAATTAAGCCTCAGTCCACTTTCACCAAAGCGCATATTTTAAGAAAAAAAAGTGTAGCGAGTTTGGACCTTTCAGAGACTGAACAGAGAAATGTGTGGGTCTTCGCAGGGAGCTGAGAGAGCCCGCCACGTGGCGGGTTCTGGCAAAGGGGCAGGGTCGCTTGCACTAGCTAAGGAACTCCCAGCCTGGTTTCTCTCCGCAGATCCAGGATTGAGATTTGACTTGCATCTGATATCTGAACCCAGACGGAGTCTGAGGGGAGTCCGTGGCTCAGTCAGATTCAGTCTGCATGCAGACGGTTACTAGTTTTAGTAGAAGATGTATAGAGTCACCCCCGGGAATCTTGCATCCATAAGACCAGCACGCAGAGACAGTGGTGGAGGGAAAGCGTGAAAAATATTAAGGAGGTGTGGACAGAACTTGCGTACGTACTGGAGCCACTCAGGCCTCAGGCCCTGGAACCGCCACAATGACCCTCTCTAAGGCAGAGACCTGGAAGTACAGCCCCGTGCTGCGGGCGGGGGAAAGGCGGGTCCTCTCTAGCAAGGTCCCTTCACAGCCTTTGCCTGCCACCTTCCACAATCTCCAGGAGACCCCACTCCCAGTCCTTCGCTTCGTGCGCACATGTTCCTTTTTTGATTTATCCAACTCTAACTGTGCCCTTGGGGTGGCCTGTGATGGAAGTCGGTGTCTTGGCGCCGCCACAGCTGTGCCCCCTTATGTGCCTACAAGGAAGGTATCTGTAGAATGAAGGAACAAAGTGGCGGTGTTCTTACTGCCCACCACGTGCTCCGGCGCGCTGGCAGAGAGCGGTCTAGACTGCAGAGGCGAGGCGGGTGGACTCGCGAGAGGCTCTGCGCCCTTGTTTTCCCTCCCACACTGGAGGCATCGAGAGAGGCGGGGTCTGCGCGTGGGTGTGACCATTTTAGGCCCCACCCAAGACATAGCCCCGCCCCGGCGCTCTGTATAAGCTCGCGCCTCGGAGGCGCGCTGATGTCAGAGGGAGACGGCCTGTCGTTCTTACAGTCGTTTTCGCTGAGCCTGCCAGAGCCGAGCCAAACCGAGCCAACAGCGGCGGCGCTGTGAGCCGCCCGCCCCTGCCGTCCCTCAGCCTTGCGCCGCGCGCTACACCAGGCATGGAGCAAGAGTGCCGAGTGCTCTCCATCCAGAGCCATGTTGTCCACGGCTACGTGGGAAACCGCTCCGCCACCTTCCCACTGCAGGTACGTGCGGGTTATATAAACGTGCCCCGGCTTTTCCCAGTGTAGTGGCCGCAGCGGCCGCTTCGGGAGCATGACCTTGGCCAAGCCGCTGAGCCCCACTTCCCGTCCAGAGCGCGGGGCTACAAACACCCAGGGCCAGGAAAGTGCAGTGCTCAGAGCGGGGACCGGCGGGGCACCCTGTAGCCCAGGCGATCCCAGTGGTGCGTGACGCGGCCGACTGGAGGGGACAGGCCCCCCAGGACCACGGAGCAGGCGCGCCCAGGACTCAGCCTCCCCTGTGGTCGGCCTTGCAAGGTAGGGTGGGGGATCGTCACTCTTGGGCCAGGAGGGACTCTGGCCCTGGGTACCCTCGTCAGAGTGGGCAGAGTCCTGGGGGAGGGGGCTCTTCGGGAGGACGAAGCCCAGTGGCGCACTCTGCCCCCTGCACCTTCTAAAGCTGAGAAAATTTGGCATCAGGTCATGAAAGTAAGACTCTGCCTTGGTCAGAGTGCAGAGTACTCTAGGGAGGAGCCTCGATGACCAGAAGTGGAGGAGGAAGAGGTGAATATAGGCCAGGTGTCTGTGAGGTGACTAGTGTCGGTACTTAGTTGAATGGACCCAGGATTCTGTCGCTGGGTCCTTCTGGGTGGGAAATATTTTCTGGAGAAGGAGGAAGACAACTGTATAAGGTCAAAAGGGGAAGACAGGCCACGCGATAGATTTGGGTGGAATCCCCATGCTGGGACCCATGGCTCCCTTGACCATTTAGGAGATGGTCAAAGGGAAGGAGTGGCATGGGATACTTGGGGTATTGGGTGGAGAAGTGTCATTCTACGGCTTGCCCTCAGTTGAGCCCTAACGATGTCTTAGATTCAAGCTTGGGTTTTGGTTTAGAAGCTACTTTTTAAAATGTTTTCAGTAGCTGGTCCCAGGAGCCTTCTGTCTTGTGGTGATCTCAGGAGGGCCATTCCCAGACTGCTTCCTATCTGCAGCCAGACGTTCTGGCTGGGTGACTCTTGGTAGGCTCTAGGTGCAGTAGACCATATGCTGGTTCAGGATGGCACCAGGTGATGGGTACCCCCTTGACTTGTGGTTTTAACAGAAGGGCTGGCTGGCTCTCCTGGACTGCCATCTCTGGCCGTGTTCAGAAGCAAATGTGACAACCCTCAAGGCCCTTGCTCGGTATGATTGTTCCCAGTGCCACCTGCATCTATAGGATGGCAGCCCCTGAGTGTGGTGAGGAGCCAGGATTAGGGCACAGTTGTGAGCAAAGCCATGTCCATAGTGAGCAGGAGACCTGGAGGGCTTGAGCCTCACCTGGGAGAATCTGAAGTCTGAAATAAGGCAGGCATGCTGGAGGAGGAAATGGCAGGAGCAGAGCATTCAAGTAGAAAATATGAGCACTCAGGCCCAAAGTGGCACTGCCAATACTGACTTCTAGATACATGTCAGTAGGGTTCAGCACTCTGCACGTGCTGCCTCATCCTAGAGTGCTCACTCCAGCCAGCTCCTGGGGCTGCTCTTTGGTCTAATCTCTTAACTTTCCCTATGGACTACCCACCCTCAGCCTGGGGGCGGGCATGGGAGATAGGCGTCCTTGGGTGGCAAAGGTGCTGAGGGAGGATTGTGTTTAGGGAGAAAAATGCAGGATCCCTGAAGCTAGAGAGCCAGACGGCACAGAACCAGGTGAAGCACTTAAAGCAGTTTCAGGAAGCAAGGCAGGAACAGCCCAGCCCGCCCTTGGTCAGGCCCTTTTCCCCATTCATCTATTTCTGTTCCTTGCTTGACCTCCACTAGGCACCATTCCCATTCTCCTCACTTCAGCTATGCTCCTGAGCTTCAGCCACATGCCCTTCATCCACCCTAAGACTGCTGTATTCTAATTATTCGGGGTGGCATCTCAACTGCTCATCTGGGAAAGTGCTTCTATAAGACAGAGTTGTGGTTCTTTAGGGCCTAGCATCCGTATCTGTGAGCAGACACACTCAGTAGAACTACAAATCTGAGCATCACTAGGAATTGCCATGAGGTCTTGCTTGTGGAGGCAGAGAGACAAGGTGGGCGGGGGTGCTTGTGATCACCTCCCTTCTGAGTTGCTTGGTTCCTGCCAATCCCTGGCTGGAGGTGACTCCTCTGTGTGACCCATTGCTGCATCCCCTCCCCAAAAGATTTGTGAGATTCAGAAGAACATGGTTAGGCGGAGGGGAGGGGTTAATAGGAAGGAGAAGCATAACCTTACATTTAGCCCTTGAGATACTCAGTAATCTCTTCTGTAAAATGGGGTGATACTTCCTTCTCAGAACCATTTCAGGACCAAGGCAGATGGGGAATACAAACAGAAAAATAATTTTCTCAAGTATCTGGGAGGAGCAGACTATCTGAAAATGAGGATTGCCATGTGTGCGCCCTTTTCACATGCAGGAAGATCAGAAATGAAGATAGAATGGCCCTGGAGTGTCACTGGGGCCATCTCAGGCTGATTTGGATGGCACGGCTGTAGATTAAACACCTACTTCCTTATAGATATCCTTTGTGCTGTCTAAGTATGACTTATGTTGACTCTGTAAACAACAGATCTGAATCCTGTCCTATCCTGTGTCATCCTCATCATTTTTTATACACTTGGGTCCATTGCTGAAGTCACGGTTGCTGAAGTCACCGTGTCAGTCCATCTCGATGAGAATCTTCCACTCCTTCGCTGATCCTCCACCCTTCCAAGCATAACCTTTTCCAAACTCTGACCTTCTCCTAGCAACACATCCAAAATATGAGAGATGAAGCTTTGCCATCCTCAGCGCCAAGGAGCACTCCAGCTGCACCTTTTTCATGACATAACTGTTCAGTACGTGGAATATTCAGTACTCTTCTCCAGCACCACAACTCAAAGGAATTAATTCTTCTGTCATCCTTATTCACTGTGCAGCTCTTGTGTTCATACTCTTTCCAAATCTGGACCTTAACTGGAACACCTCCCAGAAATGTTCCCTGGACCCTCTCATCTTAACTACTCGGTGTTGACTTTTCTAGGTATTTGGTCTGGCCACACCCACTGAGCCCCTGCAGAGTTAATGTGCAAAGATTATGCAGTGCTTATTTCAGCGGCATAACAAAGTCCCACAAGCTGGGTAGCTTGTAAGCTCAGAAATTTGTTTCTTCACTGTGTAGGAGGACAGGAGTTTGACACAGCTCAGTGTGAGAAAGGAGAATTGGGAGTGAGGGTGATCATAGGATCTACCTATGGCCCAAAGATGCAGCTCTACATTACCCTGGACATGACTGGGAAATGCCTAGTGGGTGGCTTGGTGGGACTGACCAGACATAAGAGGAGTGGGGCCTTGAAGGGGACTTCTGCTTCTCCTAGAAACCAAGCTGAGACTTGACCCTAAATTCTGGACTGGACTAAGGTCATTTGCAAAACAAGAGCCATTCCTCTTGGCAGGAAGATGGTGCTGGAGCTCATAACATAACCATTTGAGTCAAAATTCCCAGCCCATCTTGCCCGGCATAGGGAGTTTCCTATTCCTCATAGGGCCCCCTAGGAGCTTGGCCATGGATCAGCCCTCATTGGAGCTTGAGTCTCAGGCCAAGATAGGCCTCAGCTGCCTCTCCTGGTCAGAGAATGATGCCGTGCAAAAGAGAAAGGAGCCAAACTCTGACCCTGTTTCTGGAGTCTGTTTCCAGTCTCAAGTCCAAAGTACATTTTAGGTAATTGGAATAATATGATCTGCAACAGCAGGGAAGTGAAGGAGGTCAGTTTTAGCATTTGTACCCATGTTTCTCCTTACCCACCTCCAAGGGTTGAGGAGTGCAAGGAGAGGAAGAGGCCAAGGAAGGACACACACAGCTCACATGGTGCAGGCATAGTGGATGCCTCCTTGTGCAGGGCCAGGACTTCCTACTGCTATGCTTCATTTTAGATGGTGGAAAAAGAGAATCGGAGTAATAGGGTGAGGCATGCACAACCTCCAAATACAAGTGAAGTTGTGGAAACGGAAACTTCTTCCAGGGTGGGGAGCCTGCCTGAATGTATCTCTGCACTCTGCCTGGTATGAGGGTATAGCTATTCCTCCTGTTTTCCATGGGCACAATTCTAGGTAGAGATCCTGGAATCCTCCCAACAGCTAGTTTGATGCCCATTTAGAAACTAGAAAGTAAGGCACATGAGATCTAGGATTATGTCTCTGTTTCTTGAGACTACAGAACAAAGTAGCACAAACTGGTGCCTTATAACAACAGACATTTATTCTCACAGTTCTGGAGGCCAGAAGTCTGAAATAAAAATGTAAGCAGATCCAGGTGCTCCTTGTGTCCAGGGAAGGATGCGCTCCCAGATTCTGGTGGCCTCACATGTTCCTATCACAGTCACAGGAGGGGGATTGCTCAGTTCACTACAGGTTAGAAGGCATCTTGGGAGAAATTTTAAAGTTTAGAAGTTAAAGGAAGGCCAAGTGGAGATAGGATCAAACCAACCTTTTGGAATTCAAAGCAGCAGCCAGGGACCAGTGCCTCCCCAGTCAGCCAGCAGCTCTCGGATGAAAAATTATATAAATAAGGCAACTGTGTACAGAGCAGAGTTTATTAGTGAGTGATTACCAGGGGCAAAAGTGAGGGAGAAAATGGAAATTAATGATGATGGGATCATTGTATCAATTAAGGGGTGGGGTTGCACCCGCTGAATTCTGTAATTGCTGTCAGTAAGTTGTATACATGGAAAAAGTTGAATTGGCAAAAGTTGTGATAGAGATATTTACAAAAATCACACACATACATACACACACAGTGACTGCTGAGGCTTCTTTTATATGACCAAATACCTCATGGGATTTGTTTCTTGATTTGAAAGTTTACTCAAACACTATCAAGTCAGTTCTGACTCAGACCCAGAACTGAAGAGTCTTGGTTTCATGAAACACCCTAGTTAATTGGCCAGGTAATGAGCTTATTGCTTCTATTCTGTGTCCTAGTTCATTCTGTAGTGCCTGAGGTCTTAAAAGCTTGGACACAGCACTCAAAGGCATAGC